CTAGAGGTACGCCCTGTGTGATCGAGGACATTTAGGCTCTTAACAAGAGGCAGTCCCGATCATTCTTACACAAGCTACCACTGCTAAATCCTAACTGACTAAATTGTATTTTAGTTTAATATAGTTTGAAACCTAGTAATTTCCATCGAAGTTTACATGAGTTAGTAGGTGTGTAAAAGACTTTGACGTGCTCCATGGTATTGATGGCTTTAAATTCGTGAGAAACGAATTACTCACCTCGATCGCACTTTAACTCCTCAAGTGTTGCAAGTTATCTTTTCCTAGCCAGGTCTTTATGAAAGAGTTCAGGATTGAACTTCCAGTTTTCTGTGTTTCCGCTCTTAGCGACATAAATATCAATGTTGTTTTGCGAAAGGGTTGACCGTGTTTTGCGTGGATGAGAGTGACCGAGAACGTTATGCCAGTCGGTGAGGGTGCGAGTGGGACAGGTAGCTATTTTGTATTACCCGCTTACGTCGGGTATAGTATGTGTCTGGCCTGTGGGATCCGTGATGTGGTACTCTGTAGGTAACATATCAGTTGCTTGCACGGGGAAGTTGACGTCGAAACCGTTGCGTTGCATGAGTCGCACAGATAGTATTGTGCTGTTTGTGGCATGGGAAGTACTTGGCCTAATCCCGGAAGCGTGCCCCGTGCGTGTAGCGTAATTTAAGACTTATCCGGGAATTCGACTATGAAATTGCCACGTTGGATATTTGTAACACCATCGGTAGTGTTATATTTATGAATCATAGCGCCTGAATCAATGAGAGACTAGTATATTTATGAATCATAGCGCCTGAATCAATGAGAGACTAGGCTAAGTATTAGGGTGCTGTGGGCCTATCTTGGTATATTGCACTCTGCAAGCGACAGCGTTCAGTAACTGTATTTGTGTCCGCTTTATTGGAAATATTGGCATTCTTGAGAATATGCTGGTTGAGTTCTGTAGGACAATAGATGTCCGGAGAAGTATTCGTTTCAGTGTCCTTGGAAATATTCGTATTGGTATTGTAGTGGGTACTGGTATAGCCGCGATCCGTGGTTTCACTTGGACATGCAAGCTGTGTTGTTGTGACCTCCTTTGTCGCATTTGGAGCAAGATAGTGTAGAACGGTTAATAGGGCATTTATCACCCTTGTGATTGACTGAACCACAACGACGGCTGATTGAATCAGGACGCCCGAAGACGCTGTGTCCAACTCTGCCACAGAGAGGACAATTAGGGAGGTCGCGGCGTTGATTGGAAGTATTCTGTTGACCATGACTGGCATCTTTGTGACGAATGTGTCACTGCGATCAGCAGGGGTTTTGATGGACCATGAGACCGGAGACTAGTGGCGAAGAATCAAGTTGGTTGTCACCGGCAAGTTTAAGCACCTATTTATAGACTTCGTCGATTGTGAGGGCATCTAGATCGTGATCAAATGTGTCTGCACGGGGTAACTTGTAGTTGTCGTCGAGACTATAGAGCAGAGCACAAATCAAATACTTGTCTGGGATGTTTTTACCAACGTCTACCAAGTGTTGACGTATCTCCTCTTGATTTTTGTACATGGAGTTAAGCAAGGGTTCACTGATTGGATGGAAGAGTATACGGGCCTTGGAGCAGCAGTGCGGAGGTTTCCTCTTTGATCGGTGCCCTATATATGCTTCTGCTTCAAGGAGTTGAGCTCGTGTACTGTCAACTTTGCATTTCGCGAGTTTCTCCTTCGTACTAGAGAAGCGCGCGTTAAGAACATTGAGTTTGCGTTGAGTCTGGACATGTGCATCACGTTCTTGATTAAGTGTATACTCTTCGTCGATTGCGCGTTGTTTATATTCTCTAGCCTCGTCTTCATTAGCGTCGGCACGAGCGCGAATAAGGGCGATTGTTGCTCGGGAGCAAGATACATGTGCTAGGAGACGACCAGTGGATACGGGTATACCGATAGGGTTGTACACGAACTCCTGATACAGGCTGTGAATAATGCGGAGTGATCTATTGGCTTCGTTGAGAGTACCCTACCGGGGACAACATGGCCAATTTCTGGCAGCAAACTCGTGTGCATCGTCAAGGGAAGAGAATATGTCGGGGATGGAAAATATTTCGACAGAACCCATAATGAATGGTTACTGTATGTATACGCGTGATTTCGGTACCTTGCGATCTAATCGCTGAATACGTCGTATTGGGTGTTGTTGACTATACTCGCTGAATATATTTATTAGGTTATCTATAAGATAATAGGCCCATAACCTGTTTCAACATTAGAACCATAATATATTAAGTGGAAAGTGACTTTATTTACACCTCTACGGAGGGGTTTATATATATCTCCTATGCATATGGAGTCGCACGTAAGTTATAAAAGCATGACTTATTGTGGTGAATTCTTATTTGACAGTTTATAATACCTGTCAGTTAACCACGTTTTGACACCTCATGACATCTGTCATTGAACCATCCTTCTCTATATACCGAACTGGTATTGTATCTGAGCAGAATTATGGCAGTGCTGATTTTGTCCAAACAGTGTTCATGTACATAGATGTTGTGATTATGTGTTCTATGGCAATTGGCGAGCATATGACGTTGATAGAAGAAGTGCTGTAACGATTAAAAAAGCGGGACGTTAAGATCCGGATGAGTAAGTGCGAGCTCATGAAACTGCAAGCCGAGTTTCTTGGGTGCTTTTCAAGATGAGGCTGCAAGGGCGCTAAGAGAAATACGCGCAATTTGTGTATACCTTCATTATACCATAGTTGAGCGGCAAGTTGATAATGGTCACGTTGAACGCGCCAATAGAGCCGTGAAGGATTGGCTCAGTAAGCCGCTTGCTATTTAGGACTTGTGGAAACAGTGGACCATCACAGCCAGCCATCAATTGTCGCAGTTGCACGAAATGTGGAATATTGCGCTTAGCCATTATTGGATACAACTGCCATCACTGGGCACATTGACTACTCTATAAAGCTTCTCGTTTGAAAATAAAACTAGAGTACCGGTTTCGATGCCTGCTACGAACTCATATTCCCTTTTGTTAAGAGGGGGGGAGGGGGGGGGGGGGGGGTTGGGTTGGTTGTTGTTGTTGTTGTTGTTACGTAGTACTCTGGTGTGTGTCGTGTCGTTCGTTCGTTTCGTTCGTCGTAGTATTCTTCTTACTTCGTAGTATTAATTT